GGTGCAGCAGGTCCTTCAGCGCTTCGGCTTCACGTACTCCTCGCCTCAGGCCACTCCTCTGTCTACTCGCCACTCGCTCTCAGCTCTGCCTTCGGATGAGTCCGTAGAGTCGAGTGGCCCGTACCCAGAGCTTGTTGGCTGCCTCATGTACCTGATGACCTGCACACGACCTGACCTTGCATACCCTCTTAGCATTCTTGCACGCTATGTTGCTCCTGGAAAACACACACCAGAGCACATGGCTGCAGCGAAGAGGGTGTTGCGCTACTTGTGCAGTACGTCGGGCATGGGGCTAGTGCTTGGAGGGCGGAGTCCAGTGGTCCTCACTGGGCACGCGGACGCTTCTTGGGCTGACGACCAGGCTACGCAGCAGTCGTCACAGGGTTACACCTTCAGCCTTGGTTCCGGCTCTGTTTCGTGGCGGGCTACTCGCTCGTCTTCTGTTCTCGGCTCCAGTTGTGAGGCTGAGATCTACGCCGGGGCCATGGCTGCACAGGAGCTTCGCTGGCTCACCTACCTGCTGACTGACCTAGGAGAGCCGCCTCGTTCTCCTCCAGTGCTGTACGTAGACAACAAGGCCATGCTGGCCTTGTGTCGGGAGCAGCGCCTGGAGCACAGAACGAAGCACATTGCTCTCCGCTACTTTCTTGCTCGTGAGTTGCAGCAGCGTGGTCAGTTGCGACTTGCGTACGTGGCCTCTCAGGCCAACACTGCTGATGTTTTCACCAAGGCACTTCTGCCTTGTGATCATCAGCGCTTCTGCACTCAGCTGGGTCTTGTGCCTGTCTTGCCTCACTTGCTCACCCCTTGACCTTGCTTGTACTCTTACATATATATATACCTGCTCTTGCTTGTTTAGCCTTATATATATATGTGTACTCCTGCATGTGAACTGGCTTTGTCGCCTTGACTTTGTGCTCGGACTGTGTGGTGACGTTGTGATCCACCCTGAGCTTTGTCTGCTTTGCTTGACTGGTCTTGTGACCCCTTGTTCTCCCCCACTTTTCCTATGGGGGTGTGTCAAATTATAATATTGTGTAGGCTATAGTGGGGTAGCCTATATGGGGTACACATTTCTAGGGTTGCATATTTGTATCACTTCCATTCGTTAGTCATTCCATTCTCGTTCTACTTTCCTCACCAGCTCTGCCTTGTACTGTCAGAATCCCAACCACTAGACCATTGGGATAAAAGGGCTTGTTAAGTAGCGGGTCAGTGCGCCCATAACCCCCCAGGCCAACGTGCCTGTAACCCTTCCCTAGGATCAATCGGGGATCACCAGTGGACCTCTGACACCCCCCCCCCGCACTGGGATGCCCGAAGTGCATACACCGGGATTCGAACCCGAGGCCTTCGCTCTGATACCATGTCAGAATCCCAACCACTAGACCATTGGGATAAAAGGTCTTGTTAAGTAGCGGGTCAGTGCGCCCATAACCCCTCAGGCCAACGTGCCTGTAACCCTTCCCTAGGATCAATCGGGGATCACCAGAGGACCTCTGACATGTACCTGCACACAAGCGTGCATGCTAACCGAACCGGCCTGCGCATCATTTTCTCCGTAAATCTACAGTGAATACCATATATCTTTCGCTTTTCCTTTGAATTATACCATTCCCCACCCCCCTACAAGGTTCTAACCTTTTGGATCTATGTATTTCGCCAAGTGTAGGCATTCAAGTCGTGCATGGTACCTGCACTATAGGCACGCATATAAACCAAACTGACCAACGCATTACTTATGTTTGTAGAGATGCAGTTAGTATTATTTTTCTGCCAGTCCACTAGACTAGGCCATCTTCTTTAACAACACTATGTTTTAACCTTTAAGATTCACATAATTTAAGAGATTTCAAAGCTCCAGTTCCACCTTGTACCTGCACACAGACGTGCATACTGGCCGAACTGACCAATGCATCATTTGTTTCGTATAAATGCATTGAATACCAAATATTTTTCGCATTTCCTTTGAACAATACCATTCCCCACCCCCCTACCAGGTTCTAACCTTTTGGATCTATGTAGTTCGCCAAATATAGGCATTCGAGTCGTGCATGGTACCTGCACTACAGGCACGCAAACCGACCAAACTGACCAGCGCATTACTCATGTTTGTAGAGATGCAGTTAGTACCATATTCTTGCCAGTCCACTAGATTAGGCCATCTACTTTAACAGCGCTAGGTTCTAACCTTTTAGATCCACATAATTTGGAAGATTTGAGAGATCCAGCTCCGCCTTGTAACTGCACACAAGTGTGCATACTGACCGAACCGGCAAGCGCATCATTTTCTCCGTAAAACAACACTTAATACCATATATCTTTCGCATTTCCTTTGATTTATACCATTCCCCACCCCCCTATTAGGTTGTAACCTTTTGGATCTATGTAATTCGCCAAATATAGGCATTCGAGTCGTGCATGGTACCTGCACTATAGGCACGCATACCGACCAAACTGACCAACGCATTACTTATGTTTGTAGAGATGCAGTTAGTATCATTTTCCTGTCAAACCACTAGATTAGTGTCAGAATGTTATTATCTAGCCTGTAGTGGGGTGCTCTATAGCGAGTACAACCCTGTTAGGGTTTGCTATATGTATCCCAACTACTGCTAGTGAAACTCCTCCTTTCTTCACATTCCTCGTTCTTTCACATGCTATCAGAGTAGGTCGACCCTCCTGGGTCGTTCCGGTTTTCTGCCCGCCGTGCGCCCCAGGGCGTGCGGCGGCTCTCTGCCCGCCGTGCGCCCCGAGGCACGCGGCGGCTTTCTGCCCCGTCGGTCCGCGCGGCGCCCCCGGGGGGCGCTTCGACGGGCGACGGGGACCAGCCCGTCGTCCCCGGTCGCCCGTCCCGGCCAGCGCGGGCTGCGCTAGCCGCGAGCGCGGCCCGTACGGGCTGCGTCCGGCCCGCGCGCGGCCCGTACGGGCTGCGCCAGGCCCGCGCGCGGCTCGGGCCGCCTGCGCGCGGTTCGTCTGGCTGTGCCAGGCCCGTGGGCGGCCCGTTCTTCTCTGCCCCTGAGCTGCCCGCTGTCCCCCGTGCTTCTGACGGCGCCCCACCCCTGCTGCTGCCCGTTCTCCTGAATTAGGGTTTGGGGGTGGGGGGTATGGGGGTGCAGTTTCTGTGCGCCGTCCTCTGCTCCTCCTCTTCCTCCGTCTCCCACTGCTGCAGCTGCCGCTGAGGGGGGTGGATGTGTTGTGTTGGAGCCGTCGGAGTGGTACGAGGGGGTGACATGGGAGTGGAGTTAGGGGTGAAGCAGTTAGGGTGTGTGTCAAGGGTGTGGGTCAGTTGGAGGAGGTTGTGTGGAGGTAGCTGTCGTGTCGCCTGCAGCGCCTGTAGTTCGTCGCCCTTGCTTCGGTAGCCAGTGAGCCTGTTGCACCAGTCGCCAGTGGGTCCGTTGCTCCTGCCGCTCGTCTTAGCCGCGGAGCCAGTCACTCCAGTAGTCCGTCGCCCTTGCTTCGGTAGCCACTGAGTCAGCCGTTCCTGTGCCCGTGCCTCTGCAGATTCAGTCGTTGCCTCCCATCTTCTCTCCTTCCACAGTTCCTCCTCCTCCTCACTTGCTCGCTGTGATTACCTCTAGCTTTGCTTATTATTGTGAACTCTTGCTCATTGTGCTGATTACACCCCACTTTGGCTATGTAGGTGTGTCAGAATGTTATTATCTAGCCTGTAGTGGGGTGCTCTATAGCGAGTACAACCCTGTTAGGGTTTGCTATATGTATCCCAACTACTGCTAGTGAAACTCCTCCTTTCTTCACATTCCTCGTTCTTTCACAATTAGGCCATCTACTTTAACAACACTATGTTCTAACCTTTAAGATTCACATATTTTAAGAGATTTCAAAGCTCCAGTTCCACCTTGTACCTGCACACAAGCGTGCATACTGACCAAACTGACCAATGCATCATTTGTTTCGTATAAATGCATTGAATACCAAATATTTTTCGCATTTCCTTTGAATGATACCATTCCCCACCCCCCTACCAGGTTCTAACAATTTGGATCTATGTAATTCGCCAAATATAGGCATTCCAGTCGTGGATGGTACCTGCACTACAGGCGTGCATACCGACCAAACTGACCAGTGCATTACTTCTGTTTGTAGAGATGCAGTCAGTGTCGGTAGATCTGCACTGTGGATGCCCAATTGATCCTAGGGGGGTTACAGGCGCGTTCGTCTGGGGGGTTATGGGCGCACTCTGACCCGCTACTTAACAAGCCCTTTTATCCCAATGGTCTAGTGGTTGGGATTCTGAGATGGTATCCAGAGCGAAGGTCTCGGGTTCGAATCCCGGTGTATGCACTTCGGGCATCCCAGTGCGGGGGGGTGTCAGAGGTCCACTGGTGATCCCCGATCGATCCTAGGGAAGGGTTACAGGCACATTTGCCTGGGGGGTTATGGGCGCACTGACCCGCTACTGAAAAAAAGCCCTTCTGTCCCAATGGTCTAGTGACTGGGATTCTGACATGGTGTCAGTAAGGTCTCGGGTTCGAATCCCAGTGTATGCACATGTAGGCCGTTGCCGCTGTGCTCAGTCCTGGACCTCCCAGTGTGGGGGGGTGTCGGTAGATCTGCACTGTGGATGCCCAATTGATCCTAGGGGGGTTACAGGCGCGTTCGTCTGGGGGGTTATGGGCGCACTCTGACCCGCTACTTAACAAGCCCTTTTATCCCAATGGTCTAGTGGTTGGGATTCTGAGAGTCAGTACCATACTCTTGCCAGTCCACTAGAATAGGCCATCTACTTTAACAACACTAGCTTCTAACCTTTTAGATCCATATAATTTGGGAGATATCAGAGATCCAGCTCTGCCTTGTACCTGCACACAAGCGTGCATACTGGCCGAACCGACCAACGCATTATTTGTTTCGTATAAATGCATTGATTACCATCTATTAATCGCATTTTCTTTTAATAATACCATTCCCCACCCCCCTTCCAGGTTCTTACCTTTTGGATCTATGTAATTCTTCTTCTTTTTTCATTCTATTCATAGATGGTACCTCCACTACAGGCGTGCATACCGACCAAACTGACCAGCGCATTACTTATGTTTGTAGAGATGCAGTTAGTACCATATTCTTGCCCGTCCGCTAGATAAGGCCATCTTCTTTAGCAACACTAGGTTCTAACCTTTCAGATCCGCATAATTTGGGAGTTTTGAGAGATCCAGCTCCGCCTTGTACCTGCACACAAGCATGCATAATGACCGAATCGACCCGCGCATCATTTTGTTCGTAAAACTACACTGAATATCATATATCTTTCGCTTTTCCTTTCAATTATACCATTCCCCACCCCCCTACGAGGTTCTAACCTTTTGGATCTATGTAATTCGTCAAATATAGGCACTCGAGTCGTGCATGGTACCTGCACTACAGTCGCCCCAACCGACCAAACTGACCAACGCATTACTTATGTTTGTAGAGATGCAGGTAGTATCATTTTCCTGCTAGTCCACTAGATTAGGCCATCTACTTTAAAAACACTATGTTCTTATCTTTTAGATCCAAATATTTTAAGAGATTTCAAGGCTCCAGTTCCGCCTTGTGCCTGCACACAAGCGTGCATACTGACCGAACTGACCAATGCATCATTTGTTTCGTAAAAATGCATTGAATACCAGATATTTTTTGCATTTCCTTTGAACAATACCATTCCCCACCCCCCTACCAGGTTCTAACCTTTTGGATCTATGTAATTCGCCAAATATAGGCATTCGAGTCGAGCATGGTACCTGCACTACAGGCGCGCATACCGACCAAACTGACCAACGCATTACTTATGTATTTGAACATGGGCCACACGAATATGCAACAATATTCTGGTTATTGGATGCTTTTGTTTTCGGTTATAGGGATCAATGCACTTCCTTAGCATTTGTGGGCACGCACGGCCGTCATCGCGGGCGCCGAACATTTCTGTGCGCGCGAACCAAGCTAAAGTTTCTCTGGATGTGTTTTTGAACATAAGCCACCCAAATATGCAACAAATTTTGGGTCATTGGATACTTTTCCTTGCGCTTATAGGGATCAATGCGCTTCCTTAGCATTTTTGGGCAGGCACGGCCGTCATCGCGGGCGTTTAACTTTCCTGTGCGCGCGAACCTAGCTAGAGTTGCTCTTGAAGGTGTATTTGAATATGAGCCACCCAAATATGCAACAATATTTGCGTCGTTCAATGTTTTTCTTTACGCTCATAGGGATCCATGCGCTTCCTTAGAATTTGTCGGCAGGCACGGCCGTCATCGCTGGCGCCGAACTTTTCTGTGCGCGCGAACCAAGCTGAAGTTGCTCTGGGAAGGTGTATTTGAACATGGGCCACCCAAATATGCAACAATATTCGGGTTGTTAGATGCTTTTCTTTTCGTTTTTAGGGATCCATGCGCTTCCTCGGCATTTGTCAGCAGGCACGGCCGTCATTGCGAGCGCCGAACTTTTCTGTGCGCGCGAACCAAGCTGAAGTTGCTCTGGGATTGTGTATTTGAATATGGGCCACCCAAATGTGCAACAATATTTGGGTTGTTGGATGCCTTTCCTTACGCCTATAGAGATCTAAGCGCTTCCTTAGCATTTGTGGGCAAACACGGCCGTCATCGTAGGCGCTGAATTTTTCTGTGCGCGCGAGCCAAGCTGAAGTTGCTCAGGATGGTGTATTTGAACATAAGCCACCCAAATGTGCAACAATATTCGGGTCGTTGGATGCCTTTCCCTACGCTAATACGGATCCATGCGCTTCCTTAGCATTTGTGGGCAGGCACGGCCGTCATCGCGGGCGCTGAACTATTCTGTGCACGCAAATCAATCTGATGTTGCTCTGAAAGGTGGTTTTGAACATGGGCCACCCGAATATGCAACAAAATTCGGGCTGTTCGATGCTTTTCTTTACGCTGATAGGGATCAATGCGCTTCCTTAACATTTGTGGGCAGGCACGGCCGTCATCGCGGACATTGAACTTTTCTGTGCGCGCAAACCAAGCTGAAGTTGCTCTGGAGGTGTATTTGAACATGGGCCACCCGAATATGCAACAAAGTTCAGGTCGTTGGATGCTTTTCCTTACGCTTTTAGGGATCAATGCGCTTCCTTAGCATTTGTCGGCAGGCACGGTCATCGCGGGCGCCGAACTTTTCTGTGCACGCGAACCAAGCTGAAGTTGCTCTAGAAGGTGTATTTGAACATGGGCCACCCGAATATGCAACAATGTTCGGGTCGTTTGCTGCTTTTCCTTATGCTTACAAGGATCAATGCGCTTCCTTAGCATTTGTCGGCAGGCACGGCCGTCATCGCGGGCGCCGAACTTTTCTGTTCGCGGGTGATGAGAGCAAGGAGGAGGGTGATGAGAGTAGGGAGAAGGGTGATGAGACTAGGGAGAATGGTGATGGGAGTAGGGAGAAGGGTGATGAGAGTAGGGAGAAGGGTGATGAGAGTAGGGAGAAGGGTGATGAGAGTAGGGAGAAGGGTGATAAGAGTAGAGAGAAGGGTGATGAGATTAGGGAGAAGAGTGATGAGAGTAGAGAGAAGGGTGATGAGAGTAGGGAGAAGGGTGATGAGAGTAGGGAGAAGGGTGATGAGAGTAGGGAGAAGGGTGATGAGAGTAGAGAGAAGTGTGATGAGGGTAGGGAGAAGGGTGATGAGAGTAGGGAGACGGGTGATGAGAGTAGGGAGAAGGGTGATGAGAGTAGAGAGAAGTGTGATGAGAGTAGGGAGAAGGGTGATGAGAGTAGGGAGATGGGTGATGAGAGTAGGGAGAAGGGTGATGAGAGTAGGGAGAAGGGTGATGAGAGTAGGGAGAAGTGTGATGAGAGTAGGGAGAAGGGTGATGAGAGTAGGGAGAAGGGTGATGAGAGTAGGGAGAAGGGTGATGAGAGTAGAGAGAAGGGTGATGAGAGTAGGGAGAAGGGACGATGAGAGTAGGGAGAAGGGTGATGAGAGTAGGGAGAAGGGTGATGAGAGTAGGGAGAAGGGTGATGAGAGTAGGGAGAAGGGTGATGAGAGTAGGGAGAAGGGTGATGAGAGTAGGGAGAAGGGTGATGAGCGTAGGGAGAAGGGTGATGAGAGTAGGGAGAAGGGTGATGAGAGTAGGGAGAAGAGTGATGAGAGTAGGGAGAAGGGTGATGAGAGTAGGGAGAAGGGTGAGGAGAGTAGGGAGAAGGGTGGTGAGAGTAGGGAGAAGGGAGATGAGTGTAGGGAGAAGGGTGATGAGAGAAGGGAGAAGGGTGATGAGAGTAGGGAGATGGGTGATGAGAGTAGGGAGAAGGGTGATGAGAGAAGGGAGAAGGGTGATGAGAGTAGGGAGATGGGTGATGAGAGTAGGGAGAAGGGTGATGAGAGAAGGGAGAAGGGTGATGAGAGTAGACAGAAGTGTGATGAGAGTAGGGAGAAGGGTGATGAGAGTAGGGAGAAGGGTGATGAGAGTAGGGAGAAGGTTGATGAGAGTAGGGAGAAGGGTGATGAGAGTAGGGAGAAGGGTGATGAGAGTAGGTAGAAGGGTGATGAGAGTAGGGATAAGGGTGATGAGAGTAGGGAGAAGGGTGATGAGAGTAGGGAGAAGGGTGATGAGAGTAGGGAAAAGGGTGATGAGAGTAGGGAGAAGGGTGATGAGAGTAGGGAGAAGGGTGATGACAGTAGGGAAAAGGGTGATGAGAGTAGGGAGAAGGGTGATGAGAGTAGGGAGAAGGGTGATGAGAGTAGAGAGAAGTGTGATGAGAGTAGGGAGAAGGGTGATGAGAGTAGGGAGAAGGGTGATGAGAGTAGGGAGAAGGGTGATGAGAGTAGAGAGAAGGGTGATGAGAGTAGGGAGAAGGGACGATGAGAGTAGGGAGAAGGGTGATGAGAGTAGGGAGAAGGGTGATGAGAGTAGGGAGAAGGGTGATGAGAGTAGGGAGAAGGGTGATGAGAGTAGGGAGAAGGGTGATGAGCGTAGGGAGAAGGGTGATGAGAGTAGGGAGAAGGGTGATGAGAGTAGGGAGAAGAGTGATGAGAGTAGGGAGAAGGGTGATGAGAGTAGGGAGAAGGGTGAGGAGAGTAGGGAGAAGGGTGGTGAGAGTAGGGAGAAGGGTGATGAGTGTAGGGAGAAGGGTGATGAGAGAAGGAAGAAGGGTGTTGAGAGTAGGGAGATGGGTGATGAGAGTAGGGAGAAGGGTGATGAGAGTAGGGAGAAGGGTGATGAGAGTAGACAGAAGGGTGATGAGAGTAGGGAGAAGGGTGATGAGAGTAGGGAGAAGGGTGATGAGAGTATAGAATAGTGTGATGAGAGTAGGGATTGAAGATTGGTTCGCACGCATAGAAAATTTTGTGCCCGCGATGACGGCCGTGCCTGTCCACAAATGCTAAGGAAGCGCTTGGATCCCGTTAGGCGTAGGGAAAAGCATCCAACGACCCGAATATTGTTGCATATTGGTATGGCACATGTTCAGGTTGGTTCGCGCGCACAAGAAAGTCTGGCGCCCGCGATGACGGCCGTTCCTGCCCACAAATGCTAGGGAAGCGCGTGGATCCCTATAGGCATAAGGAAAGGCATCCAACGACTCGAATATTGTTGCACATTCGGGTGGCACATGTTCAAATACGCCTACCAGGGCAACTTCAGCTTGGTTCGCGCGCACAGAAAAGTTCGGCGCCCGCGATGACGCCCGTTTCTGCCCACAAATGCTAAGGAAGCGCATGGATCCTTATAGGCGTAGGGAAAAGTATTGAACGTCCCGAATGTTGTTGCATATTCGGATGGCTCATGTTCAAATACACCTATCAAAGCAACTTCATATTGGTTCGCACGCATAGAAAAGTTCGGCGATCGCGATGACGGCTGTCTGCCCACAAATGCTAAGAAAGCGCTTAGATCTCTATAGGCATAAGGAAAGACATCCAACGACCCGAATATTGTTGCACATTCGTGTGGCCCATGTTCAAATACACCTACCAGAGCAACTTCAGCTTGGATCTCGCGCACAGAAAAGTTTGGCCCATGCGATGACGGTCGTGCCTGCCCACAAATGCTAAGGAAGCGCATGAATCCTTTTAGGCGTAGGGAAAAACATCGAACGACTCGAATCTTGTTGCATATACGCGTGACCCATGTTCAATTACACCTATCGGAGCAAATTTACATTCGTTCGCGCGCACAGAAAATGTCTAGCCCGCGATGACGGCCGTGTCTGCCCACAAATGCCGAGGAAGCGCATGGATCCCTATAGGCGTAAGGAAAAGCATCCAACGACCCAAAATTTGTTGCATATTCGGGTGACCTATGTTCAGATACACCTACCGGAGCAACTTCAGCTTGGTTTGCGCGCACTGAAAATTTCGGCGCCCGCGATGACGGTCGTGCCTACCCACGAATGCTGAGGAAGCGTATGGATCCCTATAGGCATAGGGAAAGGCATCCAACGACCCAAATATTGTTGCATATTCGGATGGCCCATGTTCAAATATACCTATCAAAACAGCTTCATATTGGTTCACACGCACAGAAAAGTTCGGCGCCCACGATGACGGCCGTGCCTGCCCTCAAATGCTGAGGAAGCGCATGGATCCCTTTAAGCGTAAGGAAAAGCATCCAACGACCCAAAATTTGTTGCATATTCGGGTGACCTATGTTTATATACACCTACCAGAGCAACTTCAGCTTGGTTTGCGCGCACTGAAAATTTCGGCGCCCGCGATGACGGCCGTGCCTACCCACGAATGCTGAGGAAGCGTATGGATCCCTATAGGCGTAGGGAAAGGCATCCAACAACCCAAATATTGTTGCATATTCGGATGGCCCATGTTCAAATATACCTGTCAGAACAACTTCATATTGGTTCACACGCACAGAAAAGTTCGGCGCCCACGATGACGGCCATGCCTGCCCTCAAATGCTGAGGAAGCGCATGGATCCCTATAAGCGTAAGGAAAAGCATCCAACGACCCAAATATTGTTGCATATTCGGGTGGCCCATGTCAAATACACATATCAGAGCAACTTTATATTTGTTCGCGCGCACAGAAGAGTTCGGCGCCCGCGATGGCGGCCGTGCCTGCCCACAAATGCTAAGGATGTGCATGCATCCCTACAGGCTTAAGGTAAAGCATCCAACAACCCGAATATTGTTGCATATTCGGGTAGGCCATGTTCAAATACACCTTCCATAGCAACTTCAGCTAGGTTCGCGCGCACGGAAAAGTTCGGCGCCCGCAATGACGGTCGTGCCTGCCGACAAATGCTAAGGAAGCGCATGGATCCCTATATGATCCTTCCGCGTTTTGGGGCTGGAAGCGCTCGTTCCGAGCGTTTTTCTTCCGCTGGATCACGTGGCTGCGCTTGTCTGGGCCTATTACCGAGCCAGCAAGGGCGTGGGAGGGTTGCGAGCATCATCGGTCATCGATGCTCGCGAATGAAGAGCGCCCGCTGCACTTCTTGCACATGTGAGGATCCTTCCGCGTTTTGGGGCTGGAAGCGCTCGTTCCGGGCGTTTGTCTTCCGCCAGGTCACGTGGCTGCGCTTGTCTGGGCCTAATACCAAGCCAGCAAGGGCGTGGGAGGGTTGCGAACATCATCGGTCATCGGCGATCGCGAATGAAGAGCGCCCGCTGCACTTCCAGCACATGTGCGGATCCTTCCGCGTTTTGGGGGTGGAAGCGCTCGTTCCGAGCGTTTTTCTTCCGTCGAGGCACGTGGCTTCGCTTGTCTGGGCCTATTACCAAGCCATCAAGGGCGTGGGATGGTTATGAGTATCATCGGTCATCGGCGCTCGCGAATGAAAAGCACACGCTGCATTTCCTGCACATGTGCGAATCTCTCCGCGTTTTGGGGGTGGAAGCGCTTGTTCCGAGCGTTTTTCTTCCGTCAGGGCACGTGGCTCCGCTTGTCTGGGCCTATTACCAAGCCATCAAGGGCGTGGGAGGGTTGCGAGTATCATCGGTCATCGGCGCTTGCGAATGAAGAGCGCCCGCTGCATTTCCTGCACATGTGCGAATCCTTCCGCATTTTGGGGGTGGAAGCGCTTGTTCCGAGCGTTTCTCTTCCGCCGGGTCACGTGGCTGCGCTTGTTTGGGCCTATTACCAAGCCAGCAAGGGCGTGGGAGGGTTGCGAGGTAATGGTAATGGTAATGATAATGATAATGATAATGGTAATGGTTATTGTTATGGTAATGGTGTCAAATCATAATGTTCTGTAGGCTATAGTGGGGTAGCCTATATGGGGTACACATTTCTAGGGTTGCACATTTGTACCACATTCCATTCCTTAGTGCACTCATTCTCGTTTCAATTCTCACATGGTATCGAGCAGGTTCCCTTGTGGGAACTGTGCCTAGGGCCCACCAAGTCGAAAGTTTTTTTTTTCCTGCCCGGAGCGCGCTCTGCCCGAGTCGCGCTCCCTTCTCTGACTTCGTCGAGCCGCCCTAGCGGCCAAGTCGCGCCGCCTTAGCGGCCCCTGATTCGTCGCCCTAGCGACCCCGTCGCCCTACCTACGACCCCGGCCCCGTCGCCCTACCTGCGCCTCGGCCCCGTCGCCCTACCTGCGCCCCGGCCCCGTCGCCCTACCTGCGCCCCGGCCCCGTCGCCCTACCTGCGACCCCGGCCCCGTCGCCCCCCCCCCTTGCGACCCTGGCCCCGTCGCCATACCTGCGGCCCCGGCCCTAGCCCCGTCGCCCTACCTGCGCCCCGGCCCCGGCCCTGTCGCCCTACCTGCGCACCGGCCCCGTCGCCCTACCTACGGCCCGGCCCCGGCCCCGTCGCCCTGCCTACGGCCCGGCCCCGTCGCCCTACCTTCGACCCGGCCCCGTCGCCCTACCTACGGCCCAGCCCCAGCCCCGTCACCCTACCTACGGCCCGGCCCCGGCCCCGTCGCCCTACCTTCGACCCGGCCCCGTCGCCCTACCAGCGCCCCGGCCCCGTCGCCCTACATGCGCACCGGCCCCGTCGCCCTACCTTCGACCCGGCCCCGTCGCCCTACCTACGGCCCCGCCCGAACCGCCTACGCAGCCGAGCCGCCCGCGCCGCTCAGCAGCCCGAGCCGCCCGTTCCGCCCGAGCCGCCCGAGCCGCCCGAGCCGCCCGAGCCGCTTGAGCAGCTGAGGAGCCGAGCCGCGGGTGCCGCCGAGCCGCAGTTGCTGCCGAGCTGCCCGAGCTGCCCGAACCGCCCTGTCTGGTGAGCGCAGCGCCTCTGTCACTGCACTACCCCTGCTCTACAGTCAGCGCTGCAAGTCTACTGTTGTCATGGCTACCCCTAGTGTCCTCGCTTTTGACGCCGAGGGTCGAGCCATTGACTTTGACGTCTGGGTAGATGACCTGCAGCTGTTCTTACAGTGTGATAGGGCAGACAGCCTCTCTCTCTTTGACCTCACCTCTGGCGCTGTCCCTGCCCCTGCTGCTGATGTTGACGCCACTGTTCGCTCCCAGTGGGCCACACGCGACGCTGCTGCACGTCTTGCTGTGCGTCACCACCTCCCTACCACTGAGCGTGCGCACTTTAGTCAGTACAAGAGTGCACAGACCTTGTACGACGCTGTAGCTGCGCGCTACTCCTCCCCTGCCACTGCTGCACTGAGCCGTCTCATGCTACCGTACCTCTTCCCTGACCTTGCTGCTTTTCCCACAGTCGCTGACCTCATTACGCACCTCCGCACTAGTGACACTCGCTACCGCGCTGCGCTTCCTGCTGACTTCTGCGCCAAGAACCCCCCCCCCATATACATCACTCTCTACTACATAGTCACTCGCCTCCCTGACTCCCATCGCGTAGTCAGGGACCACTTCCTCTCAGTCTGTCCCACCACTCTCACTGTTGACCTCCTCGAGAAGTCCCTCCTAGTGGCCGAGAAGAGCATAGTCGCTGTAGGGGCCTCTCGTGGTGACCCGCGCACCCCCATCTTTGAGGGTTGTTCCCCCTCCCCCCTTCTGCCCTCTGTTGCCTCTGCTGCTGCGGCCGACCTCCTTGGTCTTGAGTCGGTCGGTGCGGCGTCTGCCCCTAGCGGGAGACGCCGCTCTGGCAGGAGCAAGGGGGGCAGGGGCACTGGAGGAGCAAGCGGGGGCGGTGGAGGTGGAGGCGGCGGGGGGAGTGGGGGTGGCGGCGGGAGTGGAGGTGGGGGTGGAGGTGTCGGTGGCGGCAGTGGAGGCGGAGGCGGCGGCAGCGGTGGCGGTGGGAGCGGAGGTGGCGGAGGTGGTGGCGGTGGAGGAGGCGGCGGAGGCGGCGGTAGTAGCGGAGGCGGCGGAGGCGGCGGAGGCGGCGGGGGTGGCGGTGGAGCTGGTCGCGGGTCGACGCA